TCGTATCGCGAGGAAATCTCAGGCCATTCAAGAAAGGTGACTGAGGTGGTTTGGGCATGTTCTCCGTCGTCCGTCCCACGAGGTTTGCTATGCTGCCCTCGATCCGGTGCCGCAGCCCACCTGAAAACATTAAAGAGGAGGGCAACTCAAGATTTGGCTCGACCCCTTCGTTGAATACATGGCAGCAGTTCTTGGACCTTCGGTCTCCGTCGCTGGAGAAGAGACTAGGTGGAGCTTTCGAGATCCGCTGCCGCCAATAGTCACGCGTAGAAGGGTGCCGTCCGTGACGTCATTTAGGCCTGCTAGATCACAGCCGTAACAAGTACGAGTAAAGATGGTTTAAAGTCTAGGTCTAACTGATGAGCTGGAAGCGCCAATCAACGTAGTCTCCACCGCCTACCAGAGTCTAATGTCACCAAGTAAATAGTCGGAAACAGACCATAAAAGCACAGAAATACCACTTTTTGTGGGCTCTGTCTGTATGATTGTCTGTTGTGAAACTATTTATCTGGTCTATATTAAGGGAACTGGAATCTGCCGATATGTTATTTTTCCTTCGCATCTAAAGTTATTCTTGTTTTTAAACACAATCCTTTCTATTAACTTTACAACAGCCTGTCAGCAGGTCTACCTAGACGCCTCTCCTTGTTCCTTGGACAGTATCCCCCGGGTGGTAAAATCAGAAAATCTACCGACGGCCTGGATAAAACCGTGACGGGGGCGGCGATTGAGGAGGACCAGACGGCTGTCTCCGAGTCCAGCACTGTTGTGCAGTGGTGTTTTGTGGGACTCGGTCTCGCCCACTTCTCCATTGCCTTTTGGACTCGCACCTGGGTCATGCAACTCACCTTGTTGGTTGGCTTTCTCTCTCTCCTGATCTACCTGGCGTCACGGGCCAATCTGCCAGAAAAGCTGTCGCATCTGTGGGAAGCGGTGTATTCCCTGCCGGTGAGAAGTCAGACAGCACCACCGGGCAGTCTGAGAGATGTTCTCGTGCCGTCTGTTCTGAAGACGACCTGGCGGCATGTTCTGCGCTACGAAAGAAGGGTAGGCTGCTGTCTTTGTCCGCCAACGTGACTGCTCTTTTTATCTGTGCTTGTCAGATGCAGTGATTTAAGTTGCTGCAGCGGCCTGATAGCCGTTCTACAAGCACTTTTTTCAAATTTAAAACGGCACCTTCTTTACTTGACAAACGACTGCCTAATACTTCGTCCTGATTTTGTCTGAACGCTTCACAACCGCCGGGTAAAAAATTAAATAAACATGTTCTTTCCCTGGTAGATAAAAGGTGGCTTTATTTGGTCAGCCGACAGTCGTTGGGAATGTATGGTGGTAGGTGTTGATGATATTAGCTGTAAAATTTGCCTCTTGTCTTTCTTTCGTATGTCGGTACAGGTGGACCGTATTCCTCCTTTCGTCACTGAGGATCGAAGCCTACTGTTTACGTAGACGTTGAGTGTAGGTAACAGAGGAAATGGGTTAAAAATCGTACGAGCGACGCTTCACGCATCAATTCTCAAATTCCATTCCGCAATATTACTGCGTAAAGCCACTCCGATTTAGCTCGACCTCGACCGGTTTGCTTTCAAGGGTCTTTAAGGCACGGAGCGTAATCCATTACAATAGCTCAAGGTTTACAATGTAAAATACGAGGCATTTAATCATTCAAGGCAATGGCTCTGGTGGTCCACGGGTTTTTACTGTCTCCCGAATGGCACACTTTTTTGCCTGACCGCATATCCTTTCGTACCAAGGCTATGCTATTTTGCCAACGGCAATAAATTTCTGGTGATCGGCAGTCCAGTCATTTTACGGTTGGCAGTGAATGAACTTCCTACACCGGTGTTAGAAAGTGTATGGTCTTGTAAAACCCGCTGGATTTATTTACCGACTTGTTTTCCTTTCTCAGCACTGCGCCCATCCCACCTCAGGCGACCGATCAGCCAGGTAGTGGCCTGTCGTAATCGTCAAAGTAGCCTTCACAAGATGGTAGAATCCTTCTTTGGGTCCCAGATCAGCAGGCAAAAGCCCCATCCTTTTGTAATACAGGACCGGGTGTAATAAATAAAACCCAGTCCGTCCAATACAAAGGAAAGGAAATAAAAAATGAAAAAGTAGTAGAAAAGGCAGAACTAAGCAGAAATAATTACTTAAATAATCTAATGTTTGTCAACAGAAAGTGCACCATAATTAAAATGTGCAAATATTAGGAAATAATTAAGTAAAAAGATGATTAGCTAAAACTAAAATCAAGTAACTTAAAAACGTAAACTAAAGTAAGCTTAACTCGCTTAAGTCAAAAATAGTGTTAAATAAAAATAAAAATAGTGAACCTAATAATGAATTGAAAACTAAACTGAAAACTGAACTTAAATATAAATAAGTTAAAGAAATCAAATAAAATAAACTGACTTAAAGTTGTTGCGTATGTTAATTAAAGGTTTGCGTGGCGCTTCGCACCCCGAACTATGCAAATCTAACTCCAGGACGGTAAGTTGGTTCTCAGGTAAGTTGAAGTAGATAACCTCCTAACCACAATCTTTTCAGGAATATCAAGAAACCCAATAAACCATAAAGTATAAGTAAGTAAAAAATATCCAAATTTGTCACACCCAATAAACAATCAGTAAGAAATGTCAGTAACTGTCTGTGTTTATTTATGCCGCGCTATTTTGTTGCCAAAGAGTTAGATTATCTAAACAATTTTTGGGACCCAAAGTAAGATTCTACCCAAGTCAGTCAAGAAATAGATAAGCCTGATCTTTTTTGGTGATGTATGCAACTCTTGACTCTTTTGCCACGCAACCCACTTGCGCTTGCTCATTTGTCGGCCAGTCGCATAGTTGGTTAGACGCTCAACTTACGGGCGACAGTTTTTCTCCTTAAAATCTCTCAAATGGCATTCAAATCCCTAGAATTCTGAACAATGCCTAAGGAGTTTTTTTACTGTCTGTCCTTTTTGCGCAGTTTCATTACTCGCAACGTCCCATATTATGCAGTTCATAGGTGTTCTGTGTCAAGAGGAAGTTCAAACTTTGTGAATGTAGTCTGTCCTGTCCAATACGACAGTGGACCGCCCCTTGTCCGCCTGCACGATAACGGGGTCACTGTTCAAAGTTATTTACCTATATTATCCTTAATAAACGGGACTGGACCTGACCTGATTCCAGCTTTCGCGTCTCTTATCCGGTTTGCTGTCAAGGGTCTTAAAGGCACGGAGCGTTATCCACTACAATAGCTAAAGATAGATGGCGCATTTAGTCCTTCAAGGCAATAGTTCTGATGGTCGACTGGTTTTTATTATCTTCCGAATGGCACACTTTTTTGTCTGACCACATATCCCTTCTCACCAAATCTGTGCTACTTTGCCAACGGCAATTAATTTCTGGTGACTGGCGGCCCAGCAATTTTACGGTCGGCAGTGAATGAACTTCATACACCAGTGTTGAAAAGTATATGGTCTTGAAAAACCTGCTGGATTTATTTACCGACTTGTTTTCCTTTCTCAGCACTGCACCCCTCGCAATTCAGGCGACCGATCAGCTAGGTGATGGCCTGTTGCTGGCAATGGGAGAGTGAAGTCGACCCTCAGCGTATTTCTTTCCTCACCAAAAACAATCGGATGTGCTTGAAACTATTGCAGTGCGCTAAAAGCCGTGGCTTAGAGGATTGCCAACTGACGCGATAACTTGGACACCGCTGTCGGTCCAGTGTGTTTCTTGTTGTGTGAATTGGCTTACTGCGGGCTATGAGTCAGGCTCATAGTTCCTTCTTAATGTGGACTTTATGGCGCTCACACAAACCTGGGAGCCTACCTAGCAAGGTGATACGCTTGTTGAGTGTTGGTCACGCCAGCCGCTTGCGCCCTACCTCATCTCCGGTCTTCTAGATTTTCGTCTTGACACCGAGTCCCGGTGTAGGAGTGGTAAGAGAGAGTGGGGTATATTCTCCGCGAGTTTTCGTTCACTATAAACCCACGGGATTAACTGCGTTGGCTCAGCTTGCTGAGATTCGTGGTTGACATAGTCGAGATCGACGGTCGAACTGTCGGATTTATTTACCAGCATTCAAATACATAGAACGAAGGTGTTCGTGTGACTGCTTTTTAAACGCAGATTTTATTGCAGCGTCTATGTACTTTCACTTACAGTACGTGACCTTCCACTTATGAGGTCGCGAACCTCGCACAAAAACGCTTATAACGCGGATGCCTCCCACTCTACATCCACTAAAATCTATACTGCTTTAGAGAATCAACCCTTTACAAAGGAAGGCCTAGTTTAATCGCTGGATTATTATTTATAAAAAGGGAAGTAATTTATGTTGTCGAAGACAATTAAGTCGACAAGGTCAGTTGTGTACTGTCTAATGCAACCGAAAGCGGAGAAGAAAAGTACGACACAAGGAGAAAATAATGAAAATATAACAAACACAACGTGCTATTATTTTTTGATTTTCATGTTGCGTGTTCAGCTCAGGTTAGGCTTATTTAGGAAAATACAGAAACATGACTTTGAAATCTCTATTGCTACAGAGCAGCTATTAAATGCCTTGATACAGTAGAACATTTCAAGAGAATGGTAATGCCAGTAAATGGAACGGAGTAGGAAGAGCAGATGGTGAAAAAAATTCCTAAGGCATTGTTCGGAGATTCTGGAAATTAGAGTGCCATTCGAGGAATTTTAAGGAGAAAAACTGTCGCTCATGGGAGGAAAGTATATGCGAGATAGGATGTCCTGTTGTTGAGATTGTTTGAAGCAAGTC